TGGATTTGTACAAACCCTGGTATACCATTTTTTGCAAATAAGTTAGTACCTTGACCAAAATAAATTATTCATTTTTAACTTAAACATTCAGTCATTATTGTGACAACAAGTCATTCTACTAGCAATAACCTACCGGCCGGTAGTTTTTGCACCGTAGAAAGTTTTTTTGGCCGCCACCATCCTTCAAAAAAAAACAACGGCGGCGGCCGCAACCAATTGTTACGAAACTCTTTTGAGCTGTTTTTTGCTGCAGATGATATATCAATACGGTATGCAAAATGCAACTAAAATTGCATTATCATAATTGCCTCAAAGGCACAGAAAATTCCTACCACTACATAACCCTATGACCCCCAAATAGCCGTATACTCACAACCATACTCCTATTTTTGAGACTGTATTGCTTTTTTTCTACAGTAATTTTCTACGGGGCATGGTACTTCTTTTTCTTGCCTACCAACCATTCAGTAGCTTATTAGTTGCATTCTCAACCACTGAATACTGCAGCAGAATGCAATAATACAACAAAAATCAGTCATATCATGATTAAGGGGAATGACCCAATGCAACTCAGTATACTCAGTATGGAGGTGCAAACTAGCATGTTATTTGATCACTATTTCCTTAAAAAAAGGACATGGAAGATGCTGATACGGAGGATGTTCGCTGATACGAAAGCTTGCTTATATGGAGGAGCCGCTGATACGGACCGCTGATATGAGCTGCTGATACTAGCCGCTGATACAAGCCGCTGATACAAGCCGCTGATACGGAGGATGCTGATACGGAGGAGCCGGTGATACAGAGGAGCCGGTGATACAGAGGATGCTGATACAAGTTGCTGATACGAGCCGCTGATACGGAGGCTCACTGATACAGAGGAGCTGCTGATAGGGAAGCTTGTTGTGATACGGCGTCCGCTGATATGGTGGAGGCTCACTGATACAGCTCACTGATACGGAGGATGCTGATACGGAGGATCCGGTCGTGATACAGAGAATGCTGATACGGAGGAGCCTGTGATACGGATGAGCTGCTTATACTACGAGTCACTGATAGCAGCCGCTGTTACGGAGGATGCTGATACGGAGGCTCGCTGATACGGAGGCTTGCTGATACTGTGTCCGCTGATACGGAGGAGCTGCTGATACGAGTTGCTTTGGTAGTAGTACTAGCTGCTAGTAGTAACTACTTGTCCTCCCCCTCTAAGATCTTAGAATAAAATCACAATAGTAATTTATTTCTTTTATTGTCAAGAATTACCTCCATCATATGTCTGTTTAGTATGGAAATTGCCTTTAGCTTGTAAATGAAAGTAATTCTGCTCAATCGACTTAGCGAATTTTTCGCTCTAGTCTATTGACATGGTATGCCGGCAGCAGAAATAAGTACGATGTACACGTACGTAGACTTCTACATGATTTCCCACTGTTGCATTTTTAGTTGCATTATGGTCAAATACCCCCACGATACGGTCGTAGGCGCAACAATTTCAATGAGATCCTACCGGTATTACTGCTGCGGCACGTCGACTTCATGGTCAGGGCTGTCGGTAACCATTCTGATCTTTTCCACGTCGAACCGACTGAACTAAACGAAGCCGATACGATGTAAAACAGTATTTCAGCAGATTCAAACCAAATATTTACTTCGCCCTCTCAATCTAAGAACATCTGCGTCACATGATTTCAAACCGGTCATCATCACCATCAACCTACGGCGAAGAAAACAGCTCATGTCGCGATGGAACAATTTCTGAAAACAAGATGTCTGTACCTCGAAAGACCACGAAGATCTATCGAGTCGTTTTGTCCGCAGCAACATTTTTTGTTCTGTGCTTGTGCACTAGGCATCAGTTCAACCTATTTCAATGCCTTCCGAAAGAAATGATTGCAGACAATGCACCTCAAGTTAAATATCAAGTTGACAAACTTTTGGAAGAGATAAGGAGGATTAAGAATGAAACCTCGTCGGAGATAGAAACCCAAAAGAACCGGGGCAACAAACTTGAAGAACAGCTGAAGAAGATAATAGAAGAAAGCTCTGCAAAGATTTCAATCGGCGAAAACCGGACCAATAATCTCGAACAACATACGAGGAAATACCAAATCGATCCCCGATATTTTTCTGATCCCCGGCGTTTTAGAGGAGAGATGACAAAAAAACTATCAGCATTATTGGAAAAAAATATCAAGTCCTACAGCCAGCTTAGAGATGAAGGTAATCTTTCTTCCTACGTCCAAGACGACCACCCGCTCTTCAATGGGGTAAAACTAGGTGACTTTTCGATCGAGGCTTTGCTCAGAATGTATCCAAAAGTTGACGTTTCCACATGTCTGAAATACAACGCCGATAAAACTGGGCGTCTCGTGGATACTACCGGCTGGTATGAAATCGAACGAAGTATCAACAATGTTCAACACAACAAAAAATTGATTAACTTTTCTCTATTTCGGAAGAGGGGGGATCATCCATTCGGCGAACTTCCAGAAGACAGACGACTGAAATGGGAGACAAAATACGCCATGCCTGTTCTCAGGATGTTTGATACAAGCCACCCGGAGGGCTATTCCAAGTACTTCACAGATTGCGATTTTCATTTATATCTTGCACGTGACCTAAAATACATGATTGATGCCAACATGATACCAAAGCATGAAAACCTTACAATCCATTTAATGAAGACAAGCTCAGTAGGAACAGGCCCAGGATCATTGTGGCGTTTCCTTGGTTTGAACAATCCAAACTACGATATTACTGCAAGTTCCGAAGCCGGTAAGAACTAGACTTGATTCGATGCGATAGTATTTATGCGCTGTTTGAATATGATGTTCCTCGTCTCAAAATATATTCCAGCTCAACAATTTTTCTTCCTTTTTTTCAATAACTTCAGACACCTTTCTGAGACGGTCGTATTTTGAGAAGGCGGAGGAGGAGATTATCTCAGCTGATAATGACTTTAATCTTGTCACAACTGGGATTGGTTATACGAGGGGCAACGATGCTTTCCTTAATAGTGCATTAATCATGGGAGGAATCATCGTCACGAAACCAAGTGCACTTCCGTTCGATATGGCTAGCGTCATAATGGGTTTCACAAAACTGGTGCATGATCGTCTCATGATCTCCACACCTCTTACTTTCACAAATAATGAGCCTGTCACATGGTGGAATCGCCCAGTTAGAGGCAATACTCATGTTAATGGGTGGGGTAGTAATATCTTCGGCTATGGCTTCGATGAAAGGTTTCTGAAACATGTAGTGTATTATGCGACGAAAGTCAAGCATCAAAGCGGACCAGCTTGTTACCAAAAAAAAGAATAATGTCGCTATCACGATCGCAATGCAAATGATTAGCCTTCCACATGGATGAATCGCTCCGGTATTGGAAACACGTACATTCATGGGTGGGTTAGTAGCATCTCTGATTATGTGTCGTATCCAACCAACGTCACGGATCAAGCCGGAGTTTCCTTACCTCCACCGCTTCACATATGTAAGTTGATGGAAAACTACATATTTTAGGAGTTGTCATTTCGAGAAATGCGTTTTAAATTGCGCACTATTCGAGATGAAAAGCTAGGCGCTTCTTAATGGTCAAATTCCAACAGAAGAACAGCATTAACCATTCATGAAACACTAAAAAGCAACATCTCATGACCATAGCACTAATAAGAAAGCTTATCTGACAGAAATTCACCATCTATGACGCTGTATCTAGGCCCCTGGAAATCATCACGTGCCTGTGTTGTCGATGAACAACGCAGTTGTCTTTTGAGCTCGGAACAATGGGTGATTTACGTTGTTATAGATGTGCTACTTTTCATAGACTGCAGACCAAAAATTTAGCACATCTATAACAAAATTTATTATGCTTGATAGCAGCCAAATTGGTGCTATCAGTTGCAATTAAATTTATACAGTAATGAAACTCACAAATGAGTCGGTTGAACGACTCAAAACAAAAATCATGTGCGTGCCTTTTTATAGTCCTCATGTTGAATTATACTACTTCAGAGGATTCCAGATTCCCAACAACAGCCAACCTTCCTCTCAGTCTGTCTGTTGAAATTTTGATTCCTGTTATTATAAAAGTAATAGATGTGCTAAACATATGGGTTTAGCAATTCTATAATAAAGAGAATGACCCAATATTAACAAAAGCAATTCAACCCCTATCCACACCATGCAATCTTCCCAGCAATAGTGCCCATGTATTCTTTGAAGTTATCAAGGTGTTAGATACAGACAGACAGGAATCTCTTTTTATTGAATGCAATATAAATTCTTCCAATTATGTCTGTACTTTGTGCTGTGTGTATTCAATTCTTCATCTGTAATTGGCTACGGTGCACTGGACGACTACCACTTGTCACTTGTTCACAGGAGCCAGTGACCATGAAGAATTCAGAATTCTCACTGCTCTGGACTTCCCAAAGAAACAAAAAGATTTTTTTGGGGGGTGCAGAATCCATGGAGGCCTCAATACCCCAAAACTGCAAATACATTAGAACCTTGACAAAAAGCAGATTATTCAGTTTTACTTGAACATTCAGTAATTATTGTGATGATCATTTATTCCAATATTTAAGAGAACCAAATTACTTCCAGGACTAAAAAATTAGTCATATTCAATCAGTCATTTTTGTTATAAGTCATTCCAAAAGAATGTAAGAGAACCTAAATCCTCCCAGACTCAAAAAATCAGTCATTATTGTGATCATTTATTCCAACATTGAAAGAAAGAACCCAACAACAATAAATTCCAATAGCTTTGGTTATGGCTAGGGTAACAGGTGCACCAATGCACCAACCAACGCTTTGTTGGACAAGTTTGAGTCCTAGTACAAAAAATACAGAAATTGTGCTAGAAGTTCCTATCCAAGAAGTTGGGGAGCAGCAAAGTAGAGCACAATAGCTAGTAACACCAACATTGACAGCCTCTACAACAACATTTAGCCACCAGCAAAAGGGACAAATACTTCACCAATGAGGAATTATTGTCAAGATTGGTCATTCAAAATCAAATTGGTTAGTATTTTACATGAAAGAGAATCCCATTCCCCAGACTTGATAAATTCTGTCACAATCCACCATACACCAGCCATCAAAACAGAAGTGGGTAAAGAAGCCCCAAGACTAGCCATACTATGAGGAGCATTGCATAATGTCAATGCTCCTAATTAAGAAAGATAACAAAATAGTTTTGTGAACTATTAGCAGAGGCATATGGAAGCTACAACCATCACTTCTTGCTGGAAGAAGGTTGCTTCTGATTGTTGCTGTGAGGGATACTAGGACTCCTGGAAGAGCATGAGTGGGGGTATGACAGATGTACTAAGATAGGATGGAATGATTATTTAAAGTATTGTTGTTGTCTCCTTTTGGAGAGTGTACGAAAGGCTAACATATCTTGAGTGATAATCTTCAGTGGTTGTTTGCAATTGCTACTACTAGTAGTCAAGGTGGGAACACAGACAGCATGAGTCACTGCTCTTCTTGTTTCAGAACTGTAGCACCAGCAGTTGGCAGGATGTCATTGCAAGACCATTGCAAAACTATATGACAACAAGGACATTGCTATCAAGGCAGCATATAGCAATACTGAAAGACTTCTATTACTAAACTACCACCTTAAGGGCTTAGCTTGTCCACTTAATGTTGGTAGTACTACTAACATTACTCACATATAAAGCTTGCCATCTAAATTGTCACACCAAATCTAAGGTTACACAGAATGAAGCATGGTAAAATCAGACTTGCCTGCTCAATGTTGACGAGATATCACCATTTCTTGCTAGCATCAAACAGTTGCATGCACTGAACTAGTATCTGACAACAAGCCATGATACAATTTCTATGGTAATCAACCCATTGTCTTTGCAGTTGACTTCAATCAACTCAAACCAGTTGGGGGGACTCCTACTCCCTGTTGCCAAAAAAAGATTTCAGCACATTTCTTGAACTGAAAACGAACCACAGGTTTACATATGATGTAATCTGGAAAGGGCCTGAACTGAGTTTTTTCAGTTTTTGCACAAAGTGCACAATTTCAAAAGATTCTATCAATATCATGATAGACTCAGTGGAGAGATTCTGGCTATGTGATTTGTACATTAGCAATGCTCAATATTTGTACACTAATATCTTTAAATAATCAATAGCCCTACATGGCAATATTCATGTTTATATTCCCTTTTGATTCATGTGCTTATCATTCTCAAGTGTCTGTTGGGGACAAAGTTATCTGTTCAAGTGAGTTGACCCTTACTTGATGCTGTGTACGGTTGCTCTAAGGACATTGGCAATGGTTTGGTGTACTATTTTTTAAACTGCATAACCCTGCTGGGGATTCTTCACAATAGTCAGAACAATCTTGACCCCATACTGGTTGAATAATCCTAGGAATTCTGTTCCATTGTCATGAACACACCTATTTAGTCTGTGATACCAGCTCAACCAGCAATTAGCAAACTGCTCTGCCACATATTTGCTGGACTTGCTGTTGATTCTGATGATCTCTAGTAGATTGGTGACTGGATTGATGCAAGTGACAAGTGCATTGAAGTTCACTTCAGTATCTCCTATCATTGTCTTCAAAGGACCAATTTGATCAACACACACCTCATCCCATGGCATCAGGATAGCCTCTTTTGGAGGTAGTAGGTGTCCATATTCTTGGCCCAGCTGCCTTGTTAATCTATGGCATTCTTCAGGGCATTGGTATTCCTTGTAGAGAACACAGAGTTACAGGTGAAAGAATGTTGCGCTTATGGTCTCATAGAGCCGTGTTGCTCCACAATGACCTAGTACTAGTAGTAAATGGTACCATCTGAGGGTGTGTTGCATTAGTCAAACAGGGGAGGTAAACCACCCAATGGTACTTATTTGGCTGTGCTACTCCTTCAGTATCTGGGTCTTTGTTCCTTGGCTTCCTGAAACAGAATGAGTTGCATAGTAGGGTTGACTTTTTTTTTGTGCTTGCATCATGGAGTTGTATCATTACTCCAAAGTAAATGTATGTTCATTCTGAAAACATGTTCTGGGCAAACATCATAGTTGTGAAAGATTTTTTCCATAAATTTATTCCAACAGGAAAAGCTAATGGTAGACATTAAAAATTCCATGGTGTCAACTGCAGAAAATGTACAATAGCATGGATCCAATTTGTGTGACGCTACTAGTAGTAACACATGTTAAAGTAGGAATTGCAAAACTATTTGGTGGCCACAAGACTCAAAATATTTGGTTGCTGGTGGGATTGAAAATTCAACACAACTTAGCACATGCATTTTGCATGCATTTAGTTTTTTAGTCAAAATAGTCATTGCAAGCAAAAATAAGGCCCCAAAATCTAGTACAACTGTATCATAGATTTACTATAAAACGCCAACTCTATGCGATAGTAGGAGTAGAAGATCTTTGGAAAATGTGTTGGTTTCAACTCGTCATTGGTCTTACTCAAGCAATTGGATTTACGTTCCTCTTGGTTTGTTGCTTTCAAGAAGAGTTAGAACTTCAATGAGTGGTATGTTTGTATTACTAGTACTAAGAACAGCACCACCTCTTGCTTCTCCTCGTCTTGAAAACACCATCAGCACCACCCCCACCACAACCAGCAAGGACAATAGTAGTACCCAACACCATAGTACACAACAAATCAGTGAATTCCATTCCTATATCTGAAACAACAAAGAGCCAGAGTGCTTTCGTTGATACATATCTTCTAAATTCTTTTCAGACCCATACTTTTCCAACTTGGCATTCACTTTTTATTAGTTTTTGCACTGTAGAAACTACTTTCGTTAGCGAGCCAATCAAAAAGGGGGGACCGGAGAATTCAAATTTTCCCAAAAAAATCCAAATTGGCATGGTTCCTGGATAGATATGATGTACGGTAAACCGTAAAAAAAAACACGACTGAGTCGTAAGTCACTAGAGCTATTAAAGGCAAGCCCCGTAGTGGCAAGTTATTGGCAATTCCCCGGGTGTCAATTTTCTCTCATTTTCCCGTCTTTATTTCCCCTCTCCCCCCCCACACACAAAAAACTATGAAGTCCTAAAATATTTCTATTAGTGCTCCTTACTGCTGGGGATATAAAATCAGTGGTTACTACTAATTAATATTAGTGCTTACTACTGGATCACCTCCATTACTACTTACTAGTTGGGATGCCATAGTAGTGAAAACTGCAAACTGCTGGGTAA